TATATATATACAATTTTCAATATTTATATAGTGTATTCTTGCGCGCGCGCATAGTAATAATGATGGTTCAAGTATTATAGTTTCGTAATAGATAGCGTAATGAGCACTTAAATGCTAACCTAACTGTGATTAGGAGCGATTAATTAACACGAACGCACGTCAGGATGCGTCGACGCGAATGTATTATATTTTCACTTATTTTTTTTAAGTTTTTGTTTTTCTCGTTTTCTTTTTTCGTTTTCTATCGTTGCCACGAGCGAAAATCATGCTTGAGCCATTGACGTAACCGTTATGAATCGCGTACCACATGACGATCGTCACGTGCAGTTAAAAGTCAGGGTTTGTGTGTATGATCCTTTTCCACATTGCGTGATTAACCGGGAAATCTACGGCATCTACGAACTCGGGGCTGGATCCAAGGCGACTTGACTTTTTAAAAAAACTGTCGGGAATACAGAAGGCGCACGTGCGAGATTACTGATTACTCTTTTGATTTAGAATCCTACTCACAATCCGAAATAATAATAACGTAAAGATTAAAAACAGAAAAAAGGAATACCGTTTTATGCGCGATCTTGAAAGAAATCGATTATAATTATACTATATTATAATACGATCTCCCGTAAAGCGTGTCGTATTTGAGTGACTAAATCAGAGATTCTTTGATCATGGACGAAACGATTCTTGACATGAAATAATGGTGAATGACACTTGATTGATTATAACACGGAGACCTTCGAATCGGCTTCGAAGTGTTGCATCTGAATGTCGTCACAAAGGCACCTGCGACCTTTATGTACTTGTCGCAACTTATGCGCATATTTGGTGACACTCGATGAAATTTCTTTTACACATTTAGCTTTTACCAATTATTATCACAATTCTTTTTATCTCTTTCTAAACATATTTTTGAAAATATTATATACAGTAATTGCATATTTTTAATAATTTTTTTTAACAAATATTAAACAATATGTAAGAGGTTATAATTCATTATAGTAGCAATCAAATTTACCAGATGTGTAATTAATTCGATTAATCAAAACGAAATTGATTTCTTAATGTTATCCAAAATCATCGTCTTGACTCAAGAATCTCCACCGTATCACATACGATACACCTTACGGAATATCTTTTGTATTATTGTACGAAAGTTGCTCCATACTGTTCTGTATATATAAAGTGGATAGAAAAAGTCTCGAAATAATTTTTTAAAAATATTTAACATAGTTAAAGAATAGTTTTTCTTTTGTTTTTGTGATTTTTTATTAATCCGACATTTATCTTATTATCAATTTTTAATTTTTTTTAATGTATCGTGACTTTTTGTACCCACTTCATGTTCGCATCATTAGCCATACTGTTAGTATGATAATAGTTAGACACAATCTGAGCCAAACAGTTATAACGACATTAGATGCAAGTGGATAATCTAAATTAAATTTCCCAAGAAGCCTATATGATTAAACAGGACATTTCGAATTTTATTGTAAAATATTGATACTATTTTAGATTAAGCATTAAAAACCAGGTGGTTGGAGTAAGCTTGAGGATAAGCCCTCTAAATGTAATAAAACCCAAATTATTTTAATGGAGTAAACAACTAACTGATGCATTGATGAAAGCACCTGAATCTGTTAATTGCTGAATAATTAGAAGAAAAATAAGTTATAATATGGACTTATATTGAAACAAGAAACTTTATGAATTAAATACATTCAAATTTCTCCTTTATATTATTACTATTTCACTAGTAAGTCGTACATGTCTAAATATAATTGATGCAGTATATAAATGATTACATATAAGTCCATACTAACACGTCGAGTGACTGTCATAGGGAGTCGTTAAAAAAAACTTACAAATACTTACATTTTCTCCAGGACCTCCAAAACCACCCAGATTATAATCACCCATTCCACTTCCACTGTCTTCCCGTGGTGTTCCAGGACCACCATTAGCCGGACTGTTTTTCATTCCATCAAGGCCATCACCGTTTAATACAGGACCCATTGTATTTGGTCCCATGGGACCCATTGGACCACCTTCTGGTCCACCACTCATTGGAAAGTCCTGATACACAATCAAACAGGATTACTATTATTACACATTTCTGTATAATTAATTAACAAACAAAAAAATATAGACAAAATCATAATAATAATCATATTAAATACCAACTGCTACAAATTGCTATGATAAAGCATCTATTAAAAAATAAGATTACTTACACCAGGCATATTTCCTCCAGGTACAGGTTTCATCATGGTATACATATTTTCGCCACCGCTATTACTACTATCTTGTGGGCTGGGCATAATTGGTGTACCTGGGCCCGGAGGACCCGTTGAACCGGGTGGTCCTCCATAATTACCCGGTGACGATGATGAATAATTCATTGGCTGTAATATAAAATTAATTTTCCAATTACAACATGCACGTTTACTTTGTAATATCATTGATAAGATAAAGTATATGTAAAAAAAATATGTATATCATATTAATAAATGATAATCGTACCGTGGATGTGTTAGGTTGCCACTGTTGTCTACCACCTGGTCCAGCCATACTCATTGGTGGCATTCCAGGACCTCCTGGACCTCCTGGACCTAAACTACTGTTAGGAGGTGGTCCCCTCATTCCTGGCCCATAACTTCCTGGTCCCATTGGACCCATTCCTGGCCCTCGTGGAGGATTCATCCTTGGATTCATGGGATTCATGCCTGGTGGAGCTAGCAATAGAAAATAATTTTTGATGCATTTCTCTAAACACAGAAGTATTAAGACTGTTCTAGTTTTATGTTAATACTAAATGCTAATCGTGAATCTTTTTGGACTAGCGGCAAATCATGTGACCGTTAAAATATTCACAATACAAAACATGATTTTTATTTTTCCTTTCTTTCTGCTTTATTTTCCATTTTTTTTCTTCTTTTGCTTCAATCATGCTTTGCCGAAGTCATGTATAATAGTAAAGCGAGTGGATGGCATGCTAACTTGGTAATTCGCATCTACACAAATTAATGAAGTAATAAAGCTCATGCGAAGGATGAAAACAGCGCTACCGATTAACTCTTACAAATGTCTGAGCTTCAAACTCGATGATGGAAAGATAAAAACAATGCAATATGTGCCAGATACATGACAAACAAGACAATCATTCAATTGATACCTATTTGAATAAAGCATTGCAGTATGATACAGCAATGTATGCGTTTGCATAGTGTCAAATCAATTGCATAACATTGTAAAGTTATCCTTCATAATTTTTTTTTTTAAATAATTTACGAAATATTTTAGCGCATATACAGGGTGCCCTATTTTGATCTATAAATACAATTATCAGAACTGTTCGTTATTCAAGAAAATGTTCCAAATAGAACTTGTTTGTTTGCGAGGGGGAAGTAATTTAATATAGTTAGTTTGTCTGTATATGGACGCGTGAAGGATATATGAAGGTCAACATTATTTTTTTAAATGGAATTATATAATTTTTGATGCATTAATCAATGCGTTTTGGTATCCTCTACAAAATAGTATTAATCTATTTATATCGAAAAACAGTTAGTTTACGAGATATTTTAATTTCAATATATATTGCAAAATGATTGTAGTAGCGATGCCTACTGTTTTGAAAGACTAGTACAATCACTTTGCAATACATATTGAAATTAAAGTATCTCGTAAACTAACGGTTTTTCGATATAAATAAATTAATACTATTTTGAAAAAGATACCGAGACGCATTAATTAATGCATCAAAAATTATATAATTCCATTTAAAAAAATTATATTGACCTTCATATATCCTTCATGCGTTCACATACAGACAAACTAACTATATTAAATTACTTCCCCCTCGCAAACAAACAAGTTCTATTTGAAACAGTTTTTTGAATAATGAACAGTTCTGATAATTGCATTTATAGATTAAAATAGGGCACCCTTACAACATAAACAAATTTATGCTTCAAATGGGAACAATTGTATTATAATTTTTATCACATGTTGAGCTTTATGCTGCAATGATTCATAAGTATGATAAAAAAAATGGGTAAATTTTGTTAGCCACAAGTTCAATTGCACTTTGTATGCAGTGAAACAATTATGATATGTTAAAATAATTCTCTATTTTTTTAAAACACGTAAATATATCTATGTTAATTTTTTATATGGAAAAAACCTGAAAAATTTTATTTTATACATAAAAAACTGTTCTCATAGCGAAGTTGAACACATTTCTTTGTTTAATGTATTAAATTGCAATCGACATATCGGATGTAAGATCGGGTGAGCAAGTATTGTACAAAGAAACGAAGCTAGTGCAATTATTCATATAAAAAGTGAGAACAGAAACTTTAAAACGAGCAGGAGAAAAAATAAAAATTAGGCTTGACTAAGTCATGTGAGTGTGATTTGGTTGCTGGGTTGCTTCCTACCTTGCCACCCTACAAATTCTCCAGCTTCGCCTGAGGAACACAAGAGCACACATTAGTACGGCAGGTAGGTAAGGTCAGGTTGATGGCGGTAAGGTCTAGTTACTTTGCGGTCGCATAGTGAATAAAGTTGTAAATACACTTTAACTGTGAAAATATATTGTTACAGTATATACTTACAAGTAAAATCTTATATGAAAATTAGTAAACGTTATGTTTAAATTCTTATTAAAAATATTGAATTTTGAAGATAAATTTTCTACTAGTATTCTTATTTGAATAATCCACTAAAACCATACAAAATTTATTAAGATAATATTTGTACTTAACAATGTATATCATATCCAATATTTTGCAGAAAAACAGATTGAAAAAAATAATGATTTCAAAGCAGAAGATTCTTAAATGACAAAACATAATTATAGGGATTTTTATATAGCGAAGGTTTACTTTACATTATTATTATTATTATCATTAAGATGTTTAATCTAGTAAACTTCAAAGTATTAAATTTATATCTTTACTTTCGATGTAAAAGAAGATAGCAAGAGTACTTATATATAAACTTATGTAAATATGTAATGCTAATTATATAATTATTCAACTTGAGAACTACACCACTGCACGTAACTAGACAATTCAAAAACCAATCCACTCCACATCACAGCAATCCAATCCACTTTTAATAATTACTTATTTATTTATTGCTGTGTGGTTTTTGGTATGCATGCGTCTATGCCATTCTCCTCTCGCAATTATTGTCAATGCCAGAAAAAAATCAATGTGAATCTAGCATATAACTGAGCCCTTACCTTGCCTAGTCGGATCCATACTATTTGGCATCATTGGTTGTCCTGGTGGCTAAATAAAAATAACAGTATGAAAATAACTTCACTACATATGTTTAATATATTTTAAGAATAATTATACATACCCCATTGAAGTCATTTCCCATTTGTGGCATACGTACTCCAGGTCTTGGTCCAGCAGGATACCGAGGACCCATGAACTGTAACAAGTCAGAAATTTATACATTAAGTAAATGATGATTTACGACATAATTATACAGGTAAAACCCCAGAATATGTTAGAGATATTATACATCACACAAACTGACACACCAGGCAGCCGCAACAAGCAATTGATCATGTATTAGACCATATAACAGGTACTTTGATGGAATTCATCACAGTGCATTTGATGAATATAATCACAGTGATATATTAATGTGCAAATAGGATTGTAAACAATAAAGAATTGAAATATTCAATAAAGAATAGGTCAATGTGAATTCAAAGTATGACTGAATATTCAATGCAACTCTTACCTTAAAAAAAGCCATTACAAACAGAAACAGTAATATCACTAACATGTTTTACAACATTAAAAAAACCTTTCCTTACCTTATAATTTTGTTGTTATACATTTTCAAAACAAAACTACTTGTTTTTAACATATAAAACAAACACTTTGTTGTAAGATACTATTTATTTTGATCATTGATGTATCGAGTGTACAAGAAAATACTTCTATGTCCACAAAACACCCTTTAATGAATCCTATTTGTGTGCTATATTAGACTTTTCAGAACAATGCGTTGAAAATTGTAGAGTAAAAATAACTTTGGTAGGAAAAGAAGCAATTTCGAGCAAACAATCATAGGTACACAATGATATGGTATAATGAGAGTGGATTGAGTGATTCTCCATGGATGAGGGGTGTGTGGGCGGAGATGGTCGCATTGTCGAGTTGTTCTGCAACAAGCAACGCAAACGACAGACATGTAGCAACACTGCGATCCAGGCAACAGCTAGACTAGAAGGCTTGGGTATGATTGTGTTAATACTATGTTGGTCAGTACCTTAAAAATCTAAAAGTTATAATTACGAAAATACAAGGTTATATAAATATCGTTTCCGATAAGAAAATAAGATTTATCATTTTATCATTTAAACAATACTTGTTTGTCACCTACATATAGTTAAACCAATATTATTTCGTAGTTACGACTTTATTATACACGAAATACGATGTGATACTGAATGCCTGAGAATATCCCAATTCAGTTTGAAACAAAACTTTGGCAAGAAGGAAAAAAATAACAATTTTTTTTAAATATTAGTTTGTAACAATATATATACATGTATTTCAAAGTAAAACCGCGTTATTTCTACCTGAACTATATAATATGTCGTTATCTTAAAATGACCTGAATTATAATAACTGTTTAAACAAGCAATATATGCATAACTAAATTTTTTTTATCAACATATATTGTTAACTCGGCATGATAATAAGCGGTCAACAAGAATATTGTTTTTCTCGTAAAAAGATCACGCTACCCATTCTTATAGAATACAGTGCTTTCCGCTTCTAAGTGAAATTCGTAGACCGCTTGAATTGAACACTAGACTACTATCTAAGCAGGCTTATATGTTAAATATATGGGATATTTTGAAAAGTGTGACCTTGGCTGACATTTATCACCTTTAAAAAATTTGTAAAAAATATCTGTCTTAAACTGTTGCACTTATAAAGTGTTCAAGTATAAGACAAGATAAAATCAAAATATTCTAAGTATAAAGACATGCTCTTGTTTACATGATTTAGATTAAAAATTGTAATATTAAAGCATTAGAGTAAATAAAAAATGTTGCAAAATAATTGAAAGGACAGAATAAACATGTCTTGAGAATATATTACAATGAATATGTTTAATAGTCATCTTGCATGAAACTTAAGTCAGCACAAGGTAGAACACTGTCAATTATAAACTTACTGTACAAAAGTATTAGAACTAAAACTATTCTCTAACATCTATACAAATCTTTTCTGATAAATTTCTGAAGCCTGCTTTATGCAGAGAGGAGATCAGAGAGTGAAAATGGTAAAGGAACGCACATACAAGTGTTAGATACATAGCAGAGAGAAAATAAGTACATAGATACAGTGTAGACAAGCATGGCATGAGAATCTTATTTGAATGTACACTTGTTTCAAAACCAATATATATTTCATTAAACTGTGTACATTTCACATTTATTAGATAAATGAAATTGCACAGGACTATAACAACATCACATGTACAGAGGTGATTGTACTAACTAATAATATTAATATTTAATTGTACATTAATTGGGCAAAATACAAGAAATTTCTTACATGTAACACATGAGTAATTATGTCTATGAAATTGTTTAGATGAAATATAGTTTCATTTATTATAACACTATATTACCAATTGACAATACTAAATTGAGTTGTAATACTACATGTGCACATTTTGAATGATCAGATTGTATTTACTGGCAGTGCAGAAATAGTAATTTACAAGTTGTACAGTGAATTATTATTATTAATAAATGATTTAAATTAATAACAATTTGTGACTGGTAGAAATTGTTTTCTACTGAAAGTTTATTGTATTTCAAGCATTCAGATAAAGTATGAACAGCTTTGAATCAAGTGTAGGATTATAATGAATGAGAATTGTAACTAGGCATAACAATGATAACAGATATTTATACATATTTATGTATAACACATATAAATACTTGTAATATGTGTCTATATACAGTTAACATGTCTGATTTCTTTATAAAAAAGATTATAAGAATCATAATTAGTTTTAGAATTATAAAACTTTAAAATATGTAATGACATATCCTAGAAAAAATGAAATAATTTTTTGCTAACAAAATATGTTATTGCATGTAACTGTTGTACAAATTAAAAAATGTTTCATTTTTTTTTTTCATTTCTTCGTTCTCCTCTTCACGATGTACATACACACATGTATGTGTATATACACTTAACATAGGACATAAAAGACATGTTCTATAATAATGCATTAATTATGCTGTATATCATGGTACAAAAATTGAAAGTTCCTATATGATTAAATTTGTTCAAAGGAAAAAGAGTAATTAACAAATAAGTAAAACTATATATTTTTTCTATCTGTATACTTTTATAAACTTTGGTATTCATACTTAAATATAGTAAATCATCAACACAACAGATAAGTAAACGTAAGTGATATTTTTTTACTTCTTTTAATATAAATGATTTATTTGAAGGAAAATGAAAACAAAATTGTCAATAATACGAAGATACAAAAAAACTTACTGGAAAGAAAGCAGGAGGCATTGGACCACCAGGCATACCATCATTGGGTGGCATTTGCCCTATGGGGGAAGGTGCTGGACCAGCATTCTGTAATCATCTTATAGTTATCTCACAGCCAAATTAACATCTAATACTTAATTGGAATATCATTTCAACATTATTTCCATGTGCAAATTCTATCAACAATCTGTATTATCCATATGTGCTATTCACCTTATGGAATATAAAAATGTACAGAATTCAACTTACATGAGCAATGCCATTAACTCCATAACCACTGTTTACAAAACCCTGATAACAAAAAAATTTAGATAAGAATGATTTCATAAATTTATAATACATACACAAATTCAATATAAATGAATGATACTAACATAGTCATGAAAAGCTTTGGCTTCACTACTATGTTCACAGGAATCTCGTCGTTCTGGTGCTGCTGAATATAGATCCCAGAATACACTAAAATATTTTAAAATAATTACTTTTAATGATCATAAAAACAAAAATATACTTTATATGATAATAAATATAACATTCTTAACTTGGTTAATTTCTTTAAATGAAAAGTTACTTATTATTCCTATTGTTATAGATAAAACAATGCATAATGCTTACCACCACCAAGAATGTAAAAATCCAGGTGGTTCACCAAGTGTTATATTTTTTTCCCACCGTATCTATGTAACAAAATAGTATATAATTATAGCAACAGTTGTAATCACTTTTTTCACAGGTTTCATTGAATTTTGCAAGATAGCTTAAAATGATTACCTCTGATAAAAATGTCTGTGCTGCCTTTTGTGCTCCAACATGTAATAAATACTCGTACACATACAAGGCTAACCTGAAATATCATAAATGGTTCACAAATATGTATAAAACATTTATATAAATCATAATTTTTAGTGTATTTTAATTCAAACAATTATAATATAATGTATATCTAACAACAATACGTCTATGT